TTCTCTTTCTCTCCTTTCTTTCTGTTCTCTCTCTCTCTCTCTCGATCCTTCTTAGTCTGTCTATGCGCCGTGTGTTTCTTCTGGTCTATTTGTCTGTTCTTTTCTCTCTCTCTGCCTCTTATCATTATCCGTCTCCCCCCCCTCCTCTCCCTCTCTCTCTCTCTTTCTCTGCCTCTTTCATTATCCCTCCCTCTCCCTCTCCCCCCCTCTCTCTCTCTCCCTCTCCCCCCCTCTCTCTCTCCCTCTCCTCTCCTTCCTTTCATGTACAAAAGACTTTATAGACATGTTCTCCTCCACTAACTCCTTAAAAACTTTCTCTTTCTGTTGTCTATTGTTGTGAAGGAGACTAAAGAGGAGAGTGTCTGTGTAAGAGGGAAGGAGGGGAGAGGTGGGAGTGGGGAGAGGGGGGAGAGGGAGGTAGGGAGGGGGAAGAAAGAAGGGAGGAGGGAGGGAGGGAGGAGAAGAGAGAGAGGGAGAGGGAGAGGGAGGGGAGGAGAGAGGTGGGAGGGGAGGGAGAGGGGAGGGAGGGGAGAGGGAGAGGAGAAAGGAGGGAGAGGAGAGAGAGAGAGGAGAGAGAGAGAGAGAGAGAAGAGGAGAGAGAGAGAGAGAGAGAGAGAGAGAGAGGAGAGAGAAGAGAGACAGAGAGAGAGAGGACAGAGACAGAAGACAAAGACAGACACAGAGAAGAGAAGGAAAAGAGGGAGGGAAAGATAGACAGAAAGATAAAAAAAAGAAGAAGAAAGGGAAGGAAACAGAGAGAGAGAGACAGACAGACAGACAGACAGACATACAGCACGAGGGCGAAAGAAAACGTAATACCTCTCCGTTTTCTATGCATATCAAAATCCGGTTAGAAGCGGAAATTCCACACAGCCCAAATGAATCAACTTTTTTCGAACAACTGGCAACCTGAATTCAACCCTTCCTCTTTCTCGAGGCTAATGATGAATGTCGAAAATATTAATCCAAATATTGCGAGAATAATAGCATCGCCTATGTTTAAATCTGCTCATTAATTCATTATATCAGATATCAGACTCTGAAATAAAAGTATTAAGAGTCTATACTATTATCTAATAATAGCAACAATAATGGTGATAATGATAATATTGAGGATAATAACTTACTATCATTTAATTTGTTACAGTAGATGTTTGTATAAGCTTTTAAATTACCTCGGTAAATTACCGTCAACTGGTATGAAAAAGAAAGAAAAAATGTAAATATAATAATGGTAATAATAATGATTATGAAGATGATGATGGTGATAATAATGATAATAATGATCATAATGATAATATTGATGATAGTTCAAATAATTATAGTACTTATCACCATAGGATTTCGTATCTTGTAAAAACACCAATGACTTTCATTAATATAAAAAAATAAGGAGAGAGAGAGAGAGAGAGAGAGAGAGAGAGAGAGAGAGAGAGAGAGAGAGAGAGAGAGAGAGAGGAGAGAGAGAGAGAGAGAGAGAGAGACGCACACACTTTTCCTTTCTTTATGACTTACATAACACCGAAGCAACCTTATCAACCTTATGTTATGCTTCCTTAAGCGTCACTTTCCAAAATCACACAATCTCTCTTACGCTCTCTCTACCCCCTCCCCTCTCCCCCTCCCCCCAACGGCGACCCGCTTTTGTCTTCAATTTGTTTAGAAAAACAAAAGAAAGGAGAAGGAAAAGAAAACGAAAGATAATTAGGGAGACATTGCACACACACATACAAACACAGAAGGAGTGAAAGTGAGAGAGGAAGAGAAAGAGAGACTGAGAGAGAGATTGAGAGAAAGTGAGGGGGAGAGAGAGAGAAGAGAGAGAAGAGAGAGAGAGAGAGAGAGACTGAGAGTGGGACAGAGGATAGGGAGAGGAGAGAGAGAGAGAGAGGAGAGAGAGAGAGAGAGAGAGAGAGAAGAGAGAGAGAGAGAGAGAGAGAGAGAGAGAGAGAGAGAGAGAGAGAGAAAGAGACGAGAGAGAGAGAAAGAGAGAGAGAAAGAGATAGAGAGACACAGAGATAGATAAATAGAGAGACAGTTAGAGAGAGAGAAAGCGAAAAGGACAAAGCAAGAGAAAGAGAGAATGTGAGAGACAGACGGAGAGAGAGGGAAGTGTGAAACAGAACACACACACACACACACACACACACACACACACACACACCACAACACACACACAAACGTGAAGCGGCAACATGAACGAAGTGGAAGCAAAAAAGAACAAAAAACAAACTCCGAAAGAAAAGTTTGGAAAAAGAACAAAATGGCCCAAGAAAAAAAAAAGCTAAAAGAAAAAAGAGAAAAAAAGAGAAAAAGAGAAAGGAGGTGTGTTGATTGTTTTTTACGAATGTGAAAACAAATGAAGGCCGGGGATGGGGTGGAGGGTAAGAGAGGAGAGGAGGAGAAGAAAGGGGGAGAGGAAGAGGAGGAGAAAGAGGAGAGGGAGGAGGAAGAGGAGGGATAGAGGGAAAAGGAGGGAGAGGAGGGATTTTATTTACAGATACATATTTCTTAAAACAGGAAAAAGTTTCATGCTTCGAACATTTATGTATGGTAACTAAATTACCTAAAACTCTGTAAAATCCCTGAGACCTCTGTAAATACCGTTCATACTTGCATAATCTAGTAGCAGTTTATATTTATGCCAGAGTCAAACACATTGAATAAACACAACCCGTTCTAAATTAGATTTTTCGATACAGAACGTGAACAAAATCACAATTAGGTTACAATGACTATGTAGATTCGTTATCGATGTGTGTGTATGTGTATCGTCTATGGAAATATGAAGTCATGCTTGGTAATAAGTTACGAAAGTTTGTATAATTAGCTATTATTATGCATTACATCTTGGCGTTTCTTTTGCATACACATTCGAAGAGGTGAGCGAGAAAAGGCATGTTTGCTTG